AAAAAAAAAAAAAAAAAAAAAAAAAACGAAATTATGGTGTTGTTGATATTTGCTGAACTGTTAATAAGGCTAAAAAGTTGTTGAACGACTAACATTGGTGCATTTTTGCCAAAGTTTATTTTCTGATCAACTTACCGGATTAATGTTCTGTTTACTAAGGATTTATTTTTGTTAAAACTTTATAATAACCGCTAATAACAAGCCTTTTTTGCCAGATGCTTCTTCTGCTGGATCGCTTTGTCCTTCTTACTCTTCTTCCATCTATTTCTTTTTCTTCGTCATATTCTTTCCTTTTTTTTTCTTTTTTTTTCGCTTTATCGTAAACTTAACAATTTGAGCAACCAAAAATGTTGAGCATAAGTTCACAACTGTTTTTTTTTCTTTGACCAAACAACATTATGAGCAACAACATCAGCGCATACTTCAACCAACAAAAAATCAGTAGTCTAACGTAACAACAGCAATATTAAAAACTTCTTAAACTGCAGCACTTTTTTTTTTTTTTTTTGTTGCACTCTTTCTTTATTCTTATCTTTTAAAACTTTTAAACAGAGCCGATTGCTTCTATGTTTGATTTGTTCCTTTTTGTTCATTTTTGCAAAATGAACATTTGCCGTTGCACTGAATCCTTGTCTACTTTCAAAAGCTCTAGTGCACCAAATCTTTAACATAATCACACAGTATTGCAAAATTTTCTTCTGTGTGAAAAAATCAATTCTGTAAAAAGAAATTCTTTTTTTTTTTTTTTGCTTATTTTTAATAAATGCCTGTATTTGTGAAAGATAATTGATTGACTCGAGCTTTTAACTGTATCAATATTTTTCAAAGGTAACAATCGTTCTTCATTAAATTTTTGAAATTCTATAGCAGTCGGCATGCTGCATTTTGAAATTCTTTAAAGTATAGCAGATTTCACTTTATAAATCCAAACTTGTGTGCAATATTGACAAAAGCAAAGTTGAAAGTCTTCAAGTTTAGAAGCAGTCATTTTTGGTAAATTTTTAGTCGATAAGAGCTTTTGGATATTTCAATAACTACCACAGATTTTAATGGTAGCTGTATCGATCACAACCACCGTTGAATGATATCAACATTGCTGCTTTTGAGTCTGATCTAAATCACAAATTTGTTACTTATATAATAGACCTGTGAAGAAAAAATGCATATTTAAATTTTAACAATGATTACCAGCCAACAAGTGCTTGTTTCATACAAAAGTAGCGTTCTAATAAAGTTTGTGCTTGTGAAAATGAAGAAACAAACTTTGACAGTGGCGAAGACTGAACAGCGATAAACTCTGTGGTGAAACTTCATCACTGCTCTAGTACTGTTTCTCTAAGAAACTGATGCCATTTTGTGGGCTACAGTCGTAGTTGCCTTTAAGTAAAGGTTCATTTAGTCATCGAATAGATACTACTTTTACCTATTCTCATTTGTTACCTATGCAAAAAAAGTTGGTTTGTAAATGCTAAGTCATGGTGAACTTGAACTTCTCGGCTGTTTAGATTACGGCACCTTGGAATTTCACAGCCAAAAGTTTACATACGAAAATTATTATTCTTTGCAGTCGATTCTTTTCTTTAGCAGTTAATTAGCAAACAATTTTTAAATTACATAGTCATGATAATTTTTAAAATAAACTATAATTCGTATTTACTGGAAATAAAAGGATAACTGAAAAACCTGGCCACATCACTCTATAAGCTTCTCATAAAGATTCTGAATCCCAGTACATTTTACAACAAAGTGGAATTGTAAACCTTAACCATTTGTTCTGTAGTTAGTTTTGACAAAAATATTTGAATATCTAGTGTCCTTGCAAAAGTTTTGTTACTCTCAATCAAATAGTCTGTTTTTAATCTGAACATCAAAGAGCTCGCATTTCTTTGCTTATTTATGCGCTTGTAAGATTTACCCCGAACAGCATTAAGCCGTTTGCTAAGATAAAACGTCTATCCTAACATAACAAAAAACAAAATAATGAAAACTAGAGAAGCTCATCGACAAGGAAAAAATTGTTTGAAAAGAATTTTACAACATGTCAAGCGTAGATATTTGAAAAAGTAGAAAAAAAAAACAAAATTCTGATTTGTTGTAAAGTAAATAATGTCTGACGGTCTCTAAATTGTCGCTATATCTTGAAAATTCCAGTATTTTTTTTTATCGTCCAATGTAATGCGCTTCAGAGAGTATAACCGCAGAACTAAACCTGTACTATTAACTTTGCAAATGTTTCTTGAGTGCATCTAATTAGTCGTTTAAGTGTTTCTGCGACCCAAAATGTCTTTGCAGTCCCCAATTGATAAATGTCTTGTCCTCCTCAATAAATTAAAAACGAGAAGAAGCAAACGTTGAACACAAATAGCAGAGAAAAAAGCCAACTGTATGGCTAAAAAGCTTCAAGTAAAAATAACTCTCAACAGCTCAAAGTAGAAGATTAAAATAAGTATTTGCCACTAAAAAACTTCAAAAAATTTTGCTGTATTTTACTGAAACCTATTCAGTTTTTCATTCTTAACGTTTTCACATGCTAGATCGAAATCTCGGCTTATTCGAAACCTTATTTGAGTATTTTAACATAAAAATTGCAAAAAAATAAAATAAAATAAAAAGCGATAAAAACTAGTAACATTTATTTAAAACTAATAAGACGATTGATTATACAGAAATATTTGAGAACAAGCTTGAGAGCTTACAATTTAGACTATAAACAGAA